ATGTATCTACAGCCTCAAGATTCCCTTGTAGAAGGAAATTTAAAAGTTTGGTTGTGATGTGAAGAGTGTATTACAAGTCAATTTCCATTATTAGAATCAGAAATTAAGATTATATTAGTGAATAAGAGAAAGAGCATGACAACTCAAAATCTTAAATTTTTTAATGCTTAGTATTATTTTTTGAAGAACTAGATATCCTAATAATGTAAACATTGATCCAGTGAGTATTGCTACTTACATGTTAGAAAAAACCTGTAGCCAAAATTCTTTTTCAGCTAACACAAGTTTTTCAACTGATGGCTAAAAAGATTTCATAATATGGATAATATATACAGAGCTGCTTGCCATGTTATTTTTATCCAGTTTAAAGAAAATTACGTGTTCTACACTGACTTAGAAAAATAGCTGCGACCGTTTAGAACATCGAGACATTGAGCAGCAAACCCTGATGATTGTATCTAGGTTCTATTAAAGCACATGCTGTCCAGAGCAGAACAGAATAATGTAGCCAAGCATCTGCAGAAGGTTTCTGGAAATATCACCTTGGCAGCAAAGGCTATGTATTCTCCAAATGATATGTGGCAATTGCAGCAATCTACCACAGAGATCTCAGTGGTTCATTTCTAACCATTTAACATTACATACATTCCTAAAATAGTCTGTGAATCTCCATGTTTCATTTTTTTTATTTTTGCTACTGAGTGCCTGTCATTTTTTGTACATTAAAAGGTCTATTCGTTGGTTGTACTTATTGATGTAAATAAATTTTTAAGGACACTTTCAAAGCTTGTACTCATAGGCGTGTGCAGCCTATTGCATTAGGGTGTGCACCCTAAAGCACAAACATACGCCGCGTGTATATATATATACACACACACACATACATACACTGCTGTGTGTGTGTGTGTGCTGCGTGAGGGTGGTTTGAGGGTGCTGTGTGTGTGTGTGTGTGTGTGTAAGTGTGCTGTGTGTGAGGGTTCTGTAAGTGTGATGTGTGTTTGAGGGTGCTGTTTGTGTGATGTGTGTGTGTGTGTGTGTGTTTGTTAGGGTCCTGTTAGTGTGATGTGTGTGTGAGGGTGCTGTGTGTGTATTTGTGAGGGTGCTGTTTCTCTGCTGTGTATGAGAGAGTGCTGTGTGTTTGAGGGTGCTGTATGTGTGTGTGTGCTGTATGTGTGTGTGTTTTATGTGTGTGCTGTGTGTATGCTGTATGTGTGTAGGTGCTGTATGTGTGTGTGTATGCTGTATGTGTGTGGATGATTGTGGGGGGTGGAGGTGGGGGTACATTACTTAATAGCCCCCCTCCCTTCTTACCTTATGTAGGGAGGGGGGATTCTTGTTCCTGCTGCTTTCCCTGGTGGTCCAGTGGAGAGTGAACTCTAGCCCCTATGGGGCTAGAGATCACTCTCGCGAGATCTCAGCGTTGCCATGGCAACGCTCAGATCTCGCGAGAGGAACCTGGCAGAGCTGCTGGTTGAGCTCCCCAAGTCCTCTCCTGCATCCCTCCAAGCTACAGTGGAGAGGGAGGCTGAGAGCAGAGCACGCCGGCTCTGCATGAGCCGACAGGGGAGATCCTGAGATCTCCCCTGCCAGTCTCACTCCATAGGCGTGCCGCGGGGATTAGGGTGTGCCCAGGCACACCCCATGCGCACACATATGCTTGTACTTGTAGCAAAATAAATAGAATAGCTATGATTTTATCACAGATTAATTATTCTACAAATGTATGAATACACTTGTCTTCAAGAATCAATCATTTATATTTGTTAATCCATATTCTATCAGAAACCTAAATTGCTTTAGTTTAAATAGAAACTTACACCACTGCAAATTATAACAGAGTTTGGTCAATACCAAATTGGTTTAATTAAGTGATCAAACTCTCAAAACAAGATATCAACAAAGTTCTAAAATATTTGTGTTTTTTTTTAAAGGATGGTATCTTTCATGTATTTTGGAGGATTTACATGTTACTGGATGATTTCTTTGACTGGCATCGCAAGGCACAATATTTTGGTCTATTACAATCAGTGAGTACCTGATTTATAAAGTTTTGGCTTTCGCCCGGTATTGTGAAACAATAAGAAAGCAATCACAAACCAAATATCACAAACCTTTTTTTGCTGCCAGGAACATTGTTCAAGTCAGGAAATTGCATTATCTTGAACTTTATTCTAACCATGATTTTTCGTTTTCTTAATTCTATAATGTTAAAAAAATGCTGTCCTCAAGTGGTTTTCAATTTTATTACAGGTTGAAGGTTACAAACAACTAAGTGCATTCATGAGGATAATACATGACAATTGAGTCATTACCTTTTATGTATGCAGTGTGTGTATCTGTGTTTCATTAAGGTACCTTTAATGGAAACATTCTGGGTACTGAACACGTGTGTGTGTGGGTGTGTGCATGTGTATTAAGTTATCAATTGAGCTATATTTTAGTTACAGAGCTTGTTTGGCTTTAATTGGTTTAATCCATTAACAACTAACCATTAATAAATATTGCTTGTAAATTGAACAATTTGCTAAGTTTTTAAAGTGTAGCTATATTTTTTTTGTAGGAACTTGATCACTTAAACTTTAGTGTTTAAGCTAAGGTATATGTTCAATTTTGACTTATCCGGTAATGGTAAGAGTGGAGTCAAAAAGTATTGGAATGGTGGGATTGTGTTCACTTTTATACTTTTGATAGATAAGCAGCCATGTTGATAAATATTGTAATATCTCTCTAACTTAATCACTATTCTCTGAATAGTATAAAAAAATACTAATGTTTATTTTTCACACCAGTAAGCATAATCTAAAAACATCATATATTCTAGAAACTACAAATAATTATATTCTACTACACGGTTATAGTACTAGTGATTCCCAAAAAAATTATCGAACATTGATTTATTGTGTTGCTTGTATTACTATTTATTTTGAGAACCATATAATAATTTATTGTGAACTGGTATTCATTTAAATTATATAAAGCTGGTAATCAGTGTATATTGCCTCACTTGAAATGTCAGCAAATCTAAAAAGCTGAACAAAATGGTGTGCATTATTATTGATTTATTAGCTAGACACATAAACCTTTCTTATTCTCACATCATGTGAAATTGCATTTAAGAGAGAAAATATCTGGAACCTGATCCACCAACCTCTTTGAATTATTTGCACTATTATTAGAATGAATTAATATAATTTAGTTGTAATATAATTAACAATACAAAAGAACATTTGAGCAAATCTGTACAGATTTGAAAATTTTAGGAAGGACTGCAAGACCTTTTACAAGCAATAAACTTACTACTCTCACAAAATTATTTCCCTTCCTAAAATTAATTTCTAGGAGTATTTATAGTTTTGTAACATACTCGAAAACGATGATGTTCTTGGCAGTTTCATAAAACCTTTGTATCGAATCACGCTATAGTAGTTTGTGAGTGCTACAACTTTTCATTCTTCCTCCCTACTGGGCATTATCTGGTCCAGGTTCAATATTTTTTTGTAAAAAAATAAAAATTCTTAAATCTACTTTTCTCATTTTAACAATGCCAGTCACGTGCCTTAAAATGTAATTCCCCTTACTGCACCATGTACAGTTTTGCCAGGAAAGGTTTAAGCAGCATAGATCCTTTTTCTTTCTTCAATATCAGTTTTATTATATTTCTATTTTTCTAAATAGAATGTTTGTAAAATCCTACAGTATAATGGCTTCACCCTGGAACAATGAATTATAAAAAATGAAAACAGAGGGAAAGGGAAAGAAGATGAAGATATTGATTTAGATTAAGTGGTAGGTCATGAATAAACACTCTCGGCTTTCTTCTTTGAGAATTCTCTCCACCTTCTCACTCCATCATTTTTAGAACCCAACCTCCCCATTCCCCCCAAAGTTACCTTTGTCTAGCAGCCAATCGTCTACAACACGACCCAGGCGGTAGGGGATGCGCTGACGGGCAAGCGCCAATCTTTCACTATCTGGGTTCCCTTTATAGAGTTTTAATAAAAGAACATTAGAGGCATTAGTATCTGAAACGTGAAAGGTTAGAGGTTAACAGGTCAAGGCACAGTTACAGCGGTTAGAGCAAGGTTAAAATATATTTAAGAAGATTAATCCCATACTGCTTCATTTTTAACGGTCACTGGGAGTCTTTATTTTGTAAGGAATTCATTGCAAGAAATGGGAAAGGTGCTATGAACATGAAATAGTTTTCCATAACTCAACAATTATGCGCTATAAAATGTCTGCCAATTGCAGTTTTGCATAAAAGTGAACACATATGTACTCGAAGTATTGGAAAAACATCTAAATGAAGAATTGCACGTGTCTGAACTTGACATTACCATAAACGCAAAGCTAAACATCATAGCTTGATAAAGAAACATATGTAGCATTTACACTTATGTACTGCTTTTTGGGATTTAAATCGTTCAATAAGATGTCACCATTTGGTTATTGAAGAACAGCTTATTTTGTTTGAAAATCAATTTGTATATCTTTCTGCAGACATAAATCAGTCTCTGGGTATTTGTAGTTCACTTGCATTTACCAAGTCTTATTTCTATCTATATTCCATCCCTTATTTGTTTTTTTTTGTTTTTCCTTCCAGTTTTCCCCTCTTTATTACTCTTTTGTAAAATGATTTAGCTTTATAACAGTACTAAATAATGACAGTTACTAATACTAACTAAAAATGGTGTTAAATGCAAAATTTCGAAAGATGGAATGACCTTTAATTCAGCTGGTTGGCTACAATTAATCAAGTTTATTCATTAAGCACAGACTTAAAGTGAATTGAAAAATTTTAATTCCGGTTCAAATTCTAAAATTCACACTAAAATACCAAAGCTGTGAGTATAATTGAGAAACTGTTTTTCAAATCAACAATTGTTGCCTACAATTTGCAAACTGGCTTTAAATTCATTGCAATTAGGTGTTTAGTAAATAAACCTATTAAATTTGAACATGAACCCCAAGTCCTATATATGTTTCAAAACCTAGAAAGATGCAAAGGGGGTAAGGGCTGCGCCCGAGGCTAATAACAGTAATCTATAATAGCAAACAACCAGACCAAATGGTCTAAAATATTATAGATTACTGTTATTAGCCTCGGGCGCAGCCGTTACTCCCTTTGCATCTTTCTATCTTGTTCTAAAGAGTCTTGAGGGATTCCCTTTTTTGGGTTGCTGCCCTTTAGTCCGTTATCTAGCGCTGACTCTTCCCCCCTGTTCTTATGTTTCAAAACCTACCCATCCCCAAATAATTTTTATTCACCTACACACTGTATTTAACAAGTTTTTATGGTCAGTATAAAGTTCATATTATCTGATGTCACTTATTGACAAAAAAAGATTAAGGCAAGAATATTACCTAAGTATCAGTTGTATTTTGTCTAGAGGTCTCAAAGTCTACAACTGCAAAAGCGAAGATAAAGTAAAAATATGTGTGTTCTCTACACTAACCACTGTATCATGGTGTACTGCTACTCTTATGTCTACTGTAACTTATGCATATCATATACTAATAATCTCTGCTCTCTTTTCCACTTCCCATACTCATTTAATACCTACAGACTTAAAAAGACAGATTTTTCAAATTTACACAGGAAAGTTACTTGCCACTAACCTCGATTAAATTGAGTGCTACAATAATCTCACTGAGGGATATGACGGAGCGAGAGGAATCCCACTATTCTAAACTGAATTTCAGGTTAGGTCCTTGACTGACTTTGTATCTACAAATCTGTTTGAGTTCCCTTATTCCTAGAATTACCCACATATACTAGGGTAAGGTCTGCAGACCTGCATACTTCAATCTTACTTAGTGACTGTGAAATTAAAAATATTCAAAGTCACATATAAGTTAAAAACTATATCCATAAATATATACATACATTGATTTTCTGCTTGTATCTCACACTTTTTGGACTAACATATGATAGCCATGCCCCAAACTGTTTTTTAATTTTACCATCTACAAATAGAAATACAAAAATAGCTCAATAATTAATTTATTGAATGTAGCAAAATTACTAAATTCTACTTAATGGGGAAGTGCTAGTTCATTCTCCATTTCAGAATGGGATAGAAAAGGCTGGATCCCTAGAGGAACTACAATTCTCACTAATCACTCTGTACCACGTTTATTGATCCAATTCATCACAATGGATCAATTTTCCTTGCCCTCTCTCATAGCCCTCAGGTACTCAGGTTTATCAGAGCGCATGCAGAACTGCCATCATCCATCCTTTCTACTCTTATTTGACACTTAAAACCACTTTCCTTAGATTATAATATCAACTTTTCCTAGACATTTATATCTGTAATGCCAGTGTTTATATGTTTATGGTTATCATGTGTGTGATACAGAAGGTTACCTCCCTACCTTGCAGCCTTGGGAAGTCTTCATCACACAATGTTTTTTTAGTTTTTTTTTTCATGTACATTCTTTTGTGATATTATGAACTGCTGTGTCCTCATCATTATTACATTTCTTTCTGTGTACGTTTTTTTTTTTTATCAAATGATAATAATAATAATAATAATATAAAAAAATTAGTAAGTATGATGACATTGGCTAAAATCTATTAGATAAGTGAAAATAGATTATATTTGGGATCTGTGAATAATTACATTACAAGTATCTAGTTTGATACATGGTTACAGTGCGAGCTTACAATATCATTAAGTAGATCAGAAATGTACAATAACAAAACAAACTGAGGCTTGGTAGGCAGGCTCTCAAACAAAGCTTGGGATTTGGAGATGCAGATAACATTAAAAGCAGAAAGGTAGAGGCTACTGGAGAACTTAGTTCTGAAAGTCAACGGTATCTCTATCCAATTACTGAACTTTGTGTGACTTTCACACACTGTTTCTACTTAGTGACATGTTAGCAAGAATGGATGCTGTAGATTGCATCAACATATTTTTATTACTATGTATAGTCAATTATGATGACCTATTTATAGTTTTCTAAAATAAAAAAGTGCAACTAAAATTAAGCAAGGGCAACATCATAGTGCTAAGCACTAGGCCACTTAGGAGATAAACATTTCACTGATGTCATTAATCGGATGAACAAATTATGAAATAGAAAATTAAGGTGCATAAGCCCACGCACCTTGAATGGCACCTTTTTTGCATTTACTGGGTATGCCAAAAGCACCACAAGCTCAGGAATGGCCTTGATCGTGTAAGTAGTAAATATTTAAATAATTTTTACCTTTTTCAATATGTATAATAAAAATTGTTAAGAATACCAGATTCTGTGTGTGTTGTTCATATAGCCATTATCCAGTCTTGATGTTATTTCATGTTAACTATGTCTCAAATTCAAGCCACTTTCCTGTTGGAGCTAAACTTCAGGTTTGTTTGTATTTCTTGACATTTCGGAGAGAAGCACAGATATTTAGCTTATTATAATATAGATTGTTCTTAATCTCACTTGCTCAGTTTTTTTTTTTAAATAGTTTTTAATTTTTAAAAGAGCCTATGACATGAAGAAGAATTTTATTTACAACAATCCAAGATGATATTAGGGAGAAAAGGTTTGTCTATGGTCTGTATACACTCCTGAGATTGTGTTAACTTTGTGTTAGCCCTTATATTCAGTCATAATAGTGTAATAGTAGCATTACATTTACCATTGGCCATAGAGGATTGGGTTTATTGCACTGGACTGTATCATCGTTTTACTTGATGTTTTAGTTCTAAAATGGTGTTAATTATAACAGACAATATTTGTCATATAATAATTGAATTATAGAATAGTAAGGCAATCGCTCTGTTTCCCAAATATTGCAATTGTAAAATATTCAGGCTCCATGTGACCAAAATGCAGAAGGGATTAAAAGCTAACATCTAGTTAGTTCTGTTTATGATTTGGTTAATGGGTGTGAGGGGTATTTTATAGCAGGTTTTCATTTCACTTTTAGAATTAGTGTTATTTGTAGATTTGTAGATTAATTTAAACTTCATTTTTTCTGTAAACAAAATACAAACACAACCCTTAGACAATCAGGTCCGATAATTTATCTGTTGCCCAATATTAACCTTTCGTTCCATTTTGTACTACAATTATATTTTTTTATATCTGATAGTATGTGAATAACAAGCTAGGTAGATTATAATATTATCTAGTGAACTTAAGTCACTTTACAAGGAACCACATAAGGAACTTAATAATTTTCTGGCTGTGATGCCAAGAGGATTAGAGTTTTCAGCATCTACCAAGGGACACAGCATAATCAAAGCTGTATCAATAGCCACATTAGCAGAAAGTCATACAGACATTGGAAAATAAGCAGAGAAACATTACAGGTTGGATTCAAAGAAAGAAGAAGTAACAACATGAATTACACATTCCCAGAAGGGACATTCCATCTACCCGCGGCTTTCCTCACCTGCAGGGTATCTCTCGTTGACGGGCCAGCTGTCCACCTGCAGGGTAGCATTGCCCCCACTACGAGTAAACCTCACGACATGATATTTTCCATCGCTCACCAAGGCCCCTGGCTCCTCTATAGTTATATCATCTGTGCCCACGTTAAATATCACCCCCACTGTGCCCTGGTCCTACAGAAAGGGACAAGGAAATTAAACAATTAATATACTGCACACAATAAAGCATTTATACATGCTATTAAGTACATATATCAACACATTTGACTATATTATGTACATACATTATAGCAATATGACATTTTATCTGATTCATGCCACCGCTCAATGTATATAGTGTCCGAGGCACCTAAACTCCGCAACGGTCACTTTCTGCAAGCCTAGTTATCCCTGGCCATCCATTGTTGCCACTGATTACCAAAGATCTTCCAGCTATTTATGCATTGTAATTAGTTTAAGGCTCTTTATCTGTGATCTGTGGTCTGTACTACCTACTTTTGCTTTGTTCCAGATTATCCTACAGTCTTCCCTTCTTTACAGATATAATTCATGCATATTGTGTCTTTCACCCTCAGTTTATTTTACTTTGTAATTTTATTGATTTTAGGATTTTCTTGCATTTTGAAACTTTAAGAACATTAATAAACCTAAAATCACCCTACATTATTGTTGTAAAGATTATCTCTTGATACTCTCTCCAAAGTCTTCTTGTCCACATTGTCTGCAGTCATGCCCAAGGTATCTTCAAACATCAAGCCCATCAATGCCCTTCTTTCATAAACCTTTCATTAGATATACGGTTGTGTAGTTCCTTGGACTTATTTACCACATGGATAATGAATAAATGAATGAATGAATGAATGACTGTGAATTGAGCTCTACTCAGAGATAATGCAATGTCCATTAACTGGAGAGTAGAGATTGACTATTAATAGAGATGCTGAACAGACAGAAATAACAGCCTTGAGCATATTTTGAATAGTCTGCCGCTCTAAAATCTTTTGAGTTATAAAAAATTGAGATTTTTCCAGAACTGTAAATATCAAAATGTTGGCACATAGAATAGCTATGTTTTTGTTATCTAAAGCATGAAGTATTACACTTTAAGCACCAGAGCCACTAATGCTTAAAGTCCCTACAGTCTCTGCTATGTAAACAGTCTTTTCTTTGAAAATGTACTGTTTACATTAATCTATAAGGACATCTTCTGGGAGCCACTAGAGGCACTTCCTGTTGCCTTCCTGAGATCTTTGCTGGACTGACTATGACATCTCCACTCTCTGCATGAAGGCAAACAGCTTTATGTAAGTCTCCAAGAAGGGACCCATAAATCTAAATCAACAGAAGTATTTTTAGTTAGAAATAAAGGTTTGCATTTTGTTAGAATTAGAGTACTCCTTAAAAAGCAGGTTAAAGCAAGTTAACAGTATAAAACTTGATAGCTAACAGTTTAGACAAAATATTGAAATGAGGTTGCAAATCACTCTGTTTAGCTTTAAAAGCTTTCTTAAAAGGAACATATATTTACACATTAAAAGGAACATATATTTACACATTTTAAGGATTGTTACTGCTTTAAAATGGAAATCCAGACCTACCCAAATGTGTTTTAAGGTTGTCAGAATAAAATAATGGAAAATAAATTGGAAAAAAAAGACAAAATCAATTTGGAGAAAATGTTTGATTTACTATTAAATTTACAAATGAGAATACTTTTAAAAAAAACAAACACAT